CCCCCCCCCAAAAAAATTGTTTCTCGTGCATGAAAAAAGAATTTATTTTCCTTTTGTTGTGGGTATCATGAATATCGTCATGGAAAAATATGGTTTTTTTCTGAAAATTTACTCTTTGACTGAACACAAAATGAAATGTAGAGGTTTCAACCGTCCACAGGTCAAATTTGTAAAGATTAGTTCCATTATTTGAATGTGGAAGCTTCCATTGGTGTTGTATATTATTAGATTTAGCACAACGCAATGTATGTACACCACCACCCCCAGGCCTCAGCGTCCCGTCCTATCTGTGTGTGTGTATCAACTTTCTTTTCTCTAATGTTACTGGCATAGGAATAATATTACTAAATTTTTTTTTTCTGTTTAATGATTTGTGCCTTTTGCAGGTAGCCTTGAGTGAGAATCAAATAAGAATATCGTAGGCTATATGGCCTATGGCATTGGAAAAGTTTGAAATAATTGCATGCAATAGAAATATTTAGAGACCTAGATGCTGGCCTTGGCATTTGCCTCTGAAAGCAACATGTATTTACGAGGTCAATTTATATTTTCTTTTGCTGCATTCTTCTTCTACTTCTACTGCTATATCGAGAAGTATTGGAGATTTTAAAACTTTTCGCGTGTTTTTAGACTATTCTGTGTGGGAACATTACAGAGCGGAAATGGAACTTGGTTGCGCGTTTGATCACAGTTTTATTCTGTAAACAATGCACACTTGTTCTCTGGAAGTTTAATGCATTTCCTATTTTTCCTCTCTTCTCTTGGTATATAACCTTTTATTTATTTTTGGGAAGAATCTTTCATTTGATCCTATTACACAACAGATTCTTGTGTGTAGTTTGTTTCATTAGCTGTAGCATGTACTGAGATCTTAGCAATGTGCTTTTCTCGTCTTTATAATGCACATGGAAATCGTTTTAATTCTTGGTCTAGAATATATTCTGACCTTGTTTGGCCTCCATTTTTTAAAATTTAAACTTGTAAATCTCAGTTTTAACACGCATTTCACAAGTTATATCGACTTTTTAAATCTCACATTTCATCAAATTTTATTAAAATTTTATTTTTAGTTAAACCAAATGGGGACTCGATGCGATTATATATATATATATATATGATTTTTTTTTAAAAACTTATTAAATGAATTTTTTTTTTTTAAACTTGTAATTTACTATTACTTCTTGTGTTAACTTGCGAATGAAATATTTACTTGGTTTTAAGTTTTATACACAAGTAAAGTTTTTAACTCATAGTGAATTTTACTTGTAAGATTATTTTTATGTATAATTTTTAGCTTCTACGTAATTTTTTACTTAATAAGTGACATATACTTATAAGTTAGTGTTGTCTATCAGTAATGACCTTTATGCTTTTAAGTGAATTTTTATCTTTTAGTTATTTTTTAGGTATGAGCAAATTTGCTTTACATAAGTGATTTACTTATAAGTAAATATTTAGGTTAATGTATTTTTTGCTTATAAGTGATTTTCTTCTTCTTCTTTTTTAATTATGAGCAAAAATTTTAACTTAAATAAGAATTTTTTTTTTTTTTAAAAAAATATACCTTATGCATGAATATTTGTCTTATAACAAAATTTTCTCATATGAATAAATTTTTGTCTTAGAGTGAAATTTTTTATCATAAGTCTTATTTTTAATTTATAACTTTTGACCTTTAAATGAATTTTATACTTGTAAATAAACTCAATATTTTATGAATTATTCATCACTTTCATTATAGTAACAATTAATACGATCTAAAATGTAAACCCAACTCAATGGAAATCTGTTTGTGTGGGTGTCTACCGGAAGATTATTTAACCTTATAAAAATAATTCAAGTATTTATCAATACCAATGAATGTTACTAAATCGATAAAGCTTGTATTTTTAGCGGGTTGAAGTTTATCTTCGACCATTTTTTACACCATATCAATCACGTTAATTGCATAATAGAGAAGTAACTAAAAGATAATGAGATACAAAGAGTGATATCATCAGAACTATAATCTATTTATTTTGAGGGTTAACCATTTGAATTATACTTGTCGACATAAATCAACCTAATCCATAAATTTATTACAACTAAAAAGTATATTAGTAAATCATAAGAGTGCAAAAATTTCAATGCAATTATTATAAACATTTGAAAGTGTGTTATAGAAAAATCACAAGTAATGGGGTATATGAGTGTACGTAACTTGGTAGGAGGGGCATGGAATCATGGTGTTTGTAGCGTGTAATAATAAAGGGAATATTAAATTATAATTTGGGATAGCCCAAAAGGCGCAAGACAGAAATAGCCCTAAATTAAAAGGTTGTTTTTTTAGTTCTCTGCTGTGACAACTTTCAACTTTAGATGACCCATAATTGATATAAATGAGTTGAGTGAAAGTGAAGACTGTTAGAACTTGAGATATGTATCATCCGCTAAGTTAAATAGGACTTAATTTAGCTCCCGTTTGGTTCTCATTTTGTAGAAATAAAAATATGTGAAATAGTGTTTTTTTTTTAAATAAGTGGTTAAAAATGAAAGAAAAGTTTTTGGTTTACGTGTAATATTATTTTATAAAAAATTGTTTGGTTGAAAATAGTAGAGAGAAAAATGAAATGTAATGGAATGAAAATTAATGGAGGCCAAACAGGGGCTTAGTGGCGGATGAATTTGTTCAATTTAAACATCGATTGAGTGTATCTAAACCATATGCTTCACTGCTTGTATGAACCGTGGGATACTACATGTGATAGTTACGTTAGTCGATATGCATTGTGTCTATTCACTGCTACGACCTTGAATGATTTGATTTATATAGTGAGTTCATATTAGTTCTAACTTTTTCCTTTTTGTTGGGCCAATAGTGGATGGCTTCATGAAGGTTAGGTAATTTGCTATTATGACTAGGGATGACAAAAGTTCGGTTTCGGTTCGGTTCGGTTAAAATCATCATCGAACCGTCAATTTTTTTGCCATTTCGGTTCGTATCTCGGTTTGGTTCGATTCAGTTAATAACCGCGAAAATAAATTATTTCTTATAGGTTCATCCATCAAATTGATATAAAACAATTTATGAAAAGAGAGTCAATGAAAACAATAACACAATATTCCAAACGAAAATACAAACATTATCCCAAATTTCAATTGCAAAATACAAATTTAACAAACAATATTTTGAATATAACAATACTAAATTTTTCTTTCATTCTTGATTCTTGTGCATTGTAGTTACTTGATTCATGCTTAATAATTCAAAAGTTTCGACCTTAACTCATATTTAATCTTCATTCTTCCCCACAATTCTTATTAGCATAGGTCAGCACTTAAAATTAATTCCTATATAGTAAATAAGAAATGTAAGTAGAGAATACAACGATACTACATAATCCAGAATGGTTTTAACTAATATTTAAATAAAAAAAATGTACATCTTTGTCAACTTCCTCTTCACTAAACCTTGCCATCCCTAATGAAAGAATGGTTTTTTTTAAGCGGGTAATCGGTTGGGTTTCAGTTCTATGGCATAAATATCATACCCGCACCGCCACGAATTGGTTCATTAAAACAAATACTATATCCGCACCATTGCACCATCGGTTCGATTTTTTTTTGTCCCATTCGGTTCGGTAAATCGCAATTTTCGATTTTAAAGGTTCAAATTGCCATCCCTAATTATAACCCACCAGTGTGAGATTAAGATTGCATTTTGCCCTTGTTTGATAGTGATTAAAATCAATTACTTATCAAAATTTGATACTTTGCAATTGAGATTTAGAATATTAACGCTATACTAAATTTTCAAATGCACCCTCAGATTAGCTTCTTTAAAGTCTAATTCCTATCATTAATGCACTAATTGGATCACATTTTTTTACCTTCATAATTCAACAAAGAGTGAAATGATAATTGGAGGAAAAGACACAAACGAGTTAACGGGATGACTCGTGCAGTTGTCTTTCACCAAAAAATGAAAAAATAAAAAAAAAATTAATGTATTTAATTGCAAAGAGCCCATTAATCACCAGCAAGAATTGATTTTTTGGTCAAAAATCGCGACTAGACATGAGCTTAGTTAATTAGGTAATAATCAAATGCTTTAGTAGGTTTTGAGAGGCCATGTAAAATCAAATAGTTTTTGTCCTTCGAAGTTGACCATTTTATTGTTTCATTTCTTAGCCCAACAAGATCCAATCCACTAAATAACCCAAAACACATACACTAAAGTGTATAATGCTATCTCGACCTTCGCACTTACTCTAGCAGTTTCGCTAACATTCCAAAACCTATACAATCGTCGATCGATGCCGTGACCTCTAATCGAAGCTGTGACCTTCGCCGACCAAAATTTTGATCGTAGCGATCTTTTGAACAAGATAGTCTACTAATCTCTAACATTCCAAAACATTGAATGTGCCATTAGTTGTATTTATATAATATTGTTATAAATGTTAAAAAATTTAATTATAGTACAGAACCGAACCCGAACGGTTCCATAATTATATTTGGACCCGACGGTTCCATTTACTAGATACCTGAAAATTTTGGTTCGATTCGATTCTCTTTAAAACCGAACGAACCGACCTGCGCCCACCCCTATTAAAAAGTATAAAAAATTATCTCTATGCATTAATTTTAACACGTTAACAAAGTAAATTGTATTACTTTTATTTCCTACTTCCATCTTATCTTCTCTTTATTAGGGTTGGACAAAACACCCGAACCGAACCGAACCGAATCCGACGATTTTTCTTAAATTAAATACCCGAACAGGTATTTGAATTGAGAACCGACGGGTATGGTTCGGTTCTCGGTTCTAGGCCAAGACCCGAAAAATCGAATAAGAATTGAATATCCCTAATTTTTTAATTAATTTATTTTAAATAAGCAAAATTATTTTATTTTTTCTAAATAAATTTGTTAACTAGTTAATTTAGTTCAAACAAAAAAATATGATTTTCCTATTTCTAATTTTTAGTTTAAAGTCAACTTAATCAAATTAACCTCAATTTATCTAAATTTGTTACTCTACTGTAACGTTGTTTTTACTGGAAAAAATCGAATTAAAGCTCTACAACGTCTCTCTTAATTATTTGGAGTTCACTATCTTTCTTTTCCTATGATTTTAATAATCAAATTTATGAAAAATTCAGTAAAGAGAGACGTAAAAGAAATATAAGATTGGATTACGTTATTTTGTAAGAGCTAAAATTGAACATATCATTAATTAAATTAATGTAACTTTATATATATTAAAAAAATTAATTATAATACGGAACCTCGGAACTGAATGGAATCGAACCGTTTTATAATTAAATTTGGACTCGACAGTTCCACTTACTAAATACTCGAAAATTTCGAATTGGTTCGGTTCTCATTAGAATCGAGTCGAATCGGACCATGTCCAGCCCTACTCTTTATCTCTCAATACATCAACAAAAAATTATCGAAACTGGTGGAGGAAGAGAACTACAACTTCAAAAATATCTGAAGAAGAGTGGAAATCACTGCCTTTAACAGCCACCACGCTCACGATCTTGTGCCTGTAAAAGAAGCGAAGACGATTCCATCAGCTTTTCCAAAAACAAACTTCATAGGATATCAATTCTCATTTTGATTCTCTCTCATTTGTTGTGCAGTGTGCTTGTTATTACTATTGCATCTTTGCATCTGCTGCAATATGTTGCCTTTATGGTAGCATTTTTGAATTACTATTGAAAATTTACACTTTTTTTAATGTCAAACTTCACTTTTTCACTTTCAA